GAAACAGACGGCCGGCCTTGGGGTCACGTGAGAATCCAAGAAGCCTGCCCTCCTAGCTTGGCGGCCACGCCCTGCGGCGCCCTGGCTCCCTTCTGGGCCGCAGACAGACCCTTCCCAGGCCAGAGGAGCCCTGGCAGGTCCCTGGGGCCGGCCCGCAGCTTCATTGTCATGATCTCAAACTCTGTAGCGCTCCTCGCCCTGCTCCCTGGCAACCCCTTCCACCCTGCCCTCCGGAGCTCAGGGATCATCAACGGAGCAGGGCACTGGCCAGGGGCGTTGAGGAACAGCACAGAACCGGTCTGGCACCAGAACCCAGAGAACACGGTCACACCGCACACACACACCCCACAGTGTCCCCCCCAGGCTCCCAGGTAGGTCCCAGTGGCAGCTCCAGCCTTCGCCTTGGCTTGTCACTGGGGGCCGCTGATTCACACACTGGGACGAAGGGCAGGATAGGAAAAGGGAAGAGAGGGCCCCGAGGCCCCACAGCTGAAGTGCTGTCCTGAACAACGTTTCTGTGGGATTTTCTTCTCCTTCCAGGACTGTGCTGCACAGATACCCCCAGCTCTTGGTGCCTTAGACTGTCCTTGGCTCGCCTCCTGCTGGTTGGTGGGGCTCTGCTCACTGTAGCCTGCCTGGGGCCCAGGTGACGGGGGACGGTTCTGGGCTGGGTGGCTGGGATTGAGAGCCAGGCTGGAACCACAGGGGGCTGGAGACTCTCGTGGGCTCTGAAGTGCTTCTAGGGAAGACAACAGGGCCTCTCTCCTCACTTTTTCATCTAAAGGAAGCCACATGGCCACCCCTCACTTTAAGGGGCACATGCAAGAAACAGGGGAGCACGGAGGCCACTGGCACCAGCAGCAGCAAAACTGCTCCCAGCCTGCTGCCTCCTGGCAAATCACAAGTGACCCATTGCCGCTACAGTTCCCCAAGTGTGGTGCGCCCAGGATGGGCGTATAAATTCTGATCTGCCTTCTTTCCCCAGAGATCGCAGCCTGACGACCAGATAAATGGGACGAAGTTCATGAAAGGTGCACTTTCCAAGGGGCCCGAAGGGGCCCTGCTCCAGGGCCAGCTGGGCCAGGCACCCGAGCATCCTTACCTGGTGCGGCTGCCAACCTTCGTGCCTGGCCAGAGTGCAGGCCACATGCTGTGAGGGGCTGCTCTCTCCTCTTGGTGGAAGGACATCCGGGATTGAGGCAACCCTCCCTCTTCCACAGAAATGTGCCCCCTCAGGAGGGCTGCCTGTCCGCCACAGGCACACCAGCTGCACATCTCTCTTCAGGCCCCCTGAGCCTAGACCAGGCCCCAGGCCATGACCCTGAGGGCCCCTCGGGCTGCCTTCAGTCCCCCCAACCCCAGGAGGAGAGGTGAGGGCAGGCAGCCAGCTCAGGCCAGGAGTGAGCTTCGTGCAGACCCACGCACCGCGTGCCTGGCAGCTCCCCACAAGCTCTCTGCATGTCTCCAGATGAAGCTCTCTGGGCACACCTGCCTCATACCTCTCCTTGTGGACCAGGAAGGCTCAGCCCTGGTCACGGAGTGAACCGTGAAATCTACAAGGTTGTGGCAGGGTTCCCGGGATGTTCAACACCAGATTTGAGGCTACATGCTGCTGTGGTCCGGGACTGTAACGGGCTTTGTATTCTAAACTAAAATATGAACGGCGGAGCAGGTGTGCTGGTGCCCGAGCACTGGCGGCCGAACCTTCAGCTCGTAGGAAACCCGGCCGCGAGAGCCGCCGTGCAAAGCCCAGGAATCTTTTACTGTGCTCCCCAAGTTAACAGAGCCATTCGCGGCTCTGCGGGCGGGCTGTCCGTGAGGCTCCCTGCAGCCCTCGGGAGGCTGCTCCGAGCTCACTGCTCCCCCACACTGAGTGCTGGCGTGCCACATATGTCCCTGACCCTGCAGAGGGGAGGCAGCACCAGGGAGGAGGAGGGGGGAGAAGCAGAGGTGAGGGTCGGGGAGAGGATGTGGGGGGTGGGGAAGGGGAGGGAGGGAGAGCAGTGGAGGGAGGGCGGCCAAGGAGCTCATTCCTTGGAGTTGTAGTTACGAATCTTGGGGGGCCGCTGGCAGCCTTGAGGTTTTGCCGGACGAGCCCTGGGGTGTCCAGTGGGCTTGCCCCTTGCTTGGGCTTCCATCTTCATCCCTTCGATGGCAAAGGCCACCCAGGACCTGGTGGGGCTCCCCTCGGGGTGCTGGAGGCTGTAGGCTGCTGGAGGTGCTGGGTGCTCTAGCAGGTGAAGAGAAATCAGAAAGGAAAGCGAGTCATTATGGGGCAGGGAAGGGTAGAAAAGGGCAGTGGACTCAGAAAGCTGAGCTTGCGGACTGTGAGCGGCCTTGCTTCTGGCCGGTGGGAACCAAGAGCCTACACCCACCCAGCTTGCTGCAGGAGCCCATGCTGGCCAGAGGCCCTTCCAGGGGAACTGGCCCTGTGTCCTGGCACAGAGGGTCTGGGTGGGCACGTGCTCTCCAGATGCTCTGCAGGGCCTGGGCCTGCCCGTCCACTGGGCACTCAGGACATGAGGCCCCTAAAACGGCATCTCCTGTCGTGTCCATTTCGTAACGGGTCCCACGGGGGTGCAGAGGTTAATGGTTGACTCATGACACTTCCCAGCCTGTCATGCCCCCACCCCCCGCCCTCTGGCCATGCTTGTCAGGCGCCTCCAACCGCCCAGCAGCCCTGACACACGTGGCCAGGCGCAGGCCAAGGACCTGGGGGCTGCACCACACCTCGTGGGCACGGGCAGCCCTTGCAAGTATCAGCGATGACTGCCTTTGTGCCACGGCACTGTAGGTGATTTTTCAAAAGCCCTTTGAGCTTCTCTCTAGTACCCTAGTTTTTAGAACTCAGAATGTACTTCTTTTGTAAAAATACCAAGACGATGTTATTAAAAACCAATTGTGAGATGCCAGCTCGGGGCGGCTCTCCCCCAACAGTGGGCCCCACAGGCAGGGTGGGGGTCTGGAGCCCCAGGAGGGTCCACACCAAAGGAGAACGTTGCCCAGGCGTGAAGACAGGGTAGGTGGGGTGGCTCACCCGTGCGACGCGTGCTCAGTGTCACTGAATCCACCACCCTGGGCCTGGCGGTGTTACAGTCTGGAGGGCCTGCCCAGCACATGGCCATGTGCTGCACAGGGGGACCGCTGGATGGGACCAACCTGGGCGAGACCTGAGGACCAGGACTGGCCAGTGGGGTGGCTGCACAGCCTCCGAGGGCAAAAGGGACAGGGCTGGCATGGAGCCGGGAGGTGGGGAAAAGACCCAGGGCTGCAAGCACACATGTCCCGCACACCAGGGCGCCATAAGCCAGGCACACCCAGGGCCCTGCCCTCCTATATCCTGTGTTCCTCCTGCTCCTCTGGCATCTGGAGACTTCTAGAACCGCTCCTCCTTCCCTGGGGCCTTCCCAGGGTCACGCCCAGTAGCCTCCCTGCTGTACCCTCAGACCCAAAGCTGGGCCTGCCCTGTCTTCCTCCGGGCGCCTGGAGGGTGGGTCCCTGGGCGTCCTCACGCTCCCCTCTGCCTCCTGTGACACGGCTGCTTCCCTTTCATTAAGAAGATGCCTGTGTCTCTGGTTCTTCAACCCCACACCAACTCCTCCTCCACACAGACCCTCCCAGCCCAGATGCCTTTACAAGTAAACCTGTGGGTTTACCTGCAAAGGGACCTCTGGTCAGCTCCATCCTGCCACCTGGGCCCCATGTTTGCTTGGTCTCCTTTTGGAATGCAGTGGCCCTGGGGGAGGGGCAGGGACAGGACCCTGAACGCTGTGATGCTGGGGGGTCCCTCTCTCCCCCCTCAGGGGTTCCGTGGGTGTAGCCTGAGTTCATCCTTGAGGCACTGTCTGAGGAATTCCTGGGGAGAGCAGGGTGGACGGAGAAGGGACAGCCCCGGTCTCAAGACCTTGGCTTGGGAGGCCAAGCTCCCTGTGACCAGCTGTCAGGAGCCAAGTGCCCGGCAGGCGGTTCCGCTGGTCGCTGGGAGCACAGGCTGGGCAGGGCCCCCGCTCCCTGCCTAGGGGCAGGGCCCCCGAGCTGTGGGCAGCCAGCTGGTTTCTGCCCTCTCCCTTCAGAGTTGCCCTGAGGGTGACTGGCTTCTCCAGAGCCGTGCAGTGCCGGCTCACACATGAAGCTCTGTATTCCAAACTAAAACACGAATGGCGGAGCAGGTGTGCTGGTGCCCAAGCACTGGCGGCCGAACCTTCAGCTCGCGGGAAACCCGGCCGCGAGAGCCGCCGTGCGGAGCCCAGGAACCCTTCACTGTGCTCCCCAGGCTAACAGAGCCATTCGCGGCTCTGCGGGCGGGCGCCCCGGGAAGGCTGCTCCGAGCTCACTGCCCCCGACGCTGAGTGCCCCCTCCGAGTTGGAAGGACAAACTCTCATTTCCCAGTGTTAGAGATGTTGCAACGACGCTTCCTTGAGGACTGAATGGCCCTCCTAGAGGCTGCTCACAGTGACAGAATGTGGATGCGGCCAAGCTTTCACGTAGCCCCCTCCATCTCTGCACTGAACTGTGCCGAACACACACCTTTGAGTCCCTCCAGGGGCACGGGTGAGGTTCTGTATAAGGAGCCACATGAAGAACACACCACAAGAAGAGCTCACAAAGGAGAAAGCAAATCCAGAAGAAGCTGCTGGAGAAACAGGGAACTCCGAGGTACAGACACCCACAGCAATCCAAATGGGAATTCCAGACACTGTTGCTTGGACGGTGGCGGTGTGCCGGAGTGGGAGGAGGGGAGTGTGTGGAGAACCTGCCTGTGACGTGGTCACAAGTCTGAGAAACCAGTAGGGCTGCGAACATGGGTGTGAGCAGGTGAACCCATCCGAGGGCAAAACCAGAACATGTAACTTACGAAACAGCAGAAGAAAACTTGCTGTCGCCAGTGAGCAGCAGGAATGTAGAAAAATGAAACAGAAAGAACGTAAATAAATTGGAAATAAATAATATGGAGAATGAAGTCCAATATATAAGAGTTAAATAAATATTAATGAGTTCAGCTCACTAAAGAAGAAAAAAATTCTCAAATTGGAGCTATTGAAAAAAAAGCAAAGATCCAACAAGATGTTGTAAAAGGACCCATTTAAAACAAAAGACGAATAAAAACTGAAAATAAAAAAAACACAATTAGGCATAAAGTGTCACAACGGGCAAAGAAGAACTGTGCACTGGTGAAGGGACAACTTCACAACACATCAAGTGACATCTGATAGAGCTGCAGAGCAAAACAGATAATCCCAAACAGGCAGATGAAAGTTTTAATCATCCCTGTTGATCACAAGCCACACAGAGACGGCAAAGATTCAGTTAGTGGAACTAACTGGCTTGAGTTATTAGATACAGAGATGTATATTCAATATCTTGTAGTAACCTTTAATGAAAAAGAATATGAAAATGAATATGAAAATGAATATATGTGTGTATATGCATGACTGGGTCACTGTGCTGCGCACCAGAAACTGACACATTGTAAATGTGCTCCAATTTTTAAAAAAAATAAACAAATAATTTAATTAACTATTAATAAAGTTCTTAAAAATATACCATTATCAAGTAAAGTTTGTCCCAGTAACGCAAGGCTGGTTCAGTATCAGAAAGTCTACCACCATCTTTCACCACAATAAACAAATTAAAAAAATATATATATATATGATTATCTCAATCAATGCAGAAAAAACATCTGATGAGGTTTAACAAGTATTTATGATGAAAACTCTTAGTGAATCAAGAATGCAAGGGGAAATGTTTAACTTGACGGAGGCTATTTTGTAAAACACACAGCCTGTGTGGAAAACCAGCCTCAGTCCCTTCAAGTCAGGGAGGTAGACAAGTTGTCCCCCGTGACGCTCCCAGGGCCCCAACCAGCTCCGCAAGGAAAGCAAAAGAAGTAAGGAGGGTGAGAAGAGAAGGGAGGAACCGGTCGCTGTCTGAAGACAGCATGACCGTCCCCGCAGAGGAAGCAGCCCTGGAGACGTGTGAACTGCTTGCTGGTGTGGACACGGACTCAGCAGGGTGAGGGGCAGGCCGCCGGGCATCCCAAGCACCCAGAAAGCAGCAAACAGAAGGAGGCTCTGGACATGGGGTCTCACGGGGACGCAGCCGGACGCCCTGTCGTCAGGGCCTGTGGCCGGAGGGTGGCTGCTGGTTTCCATGGCGGCTCCTGCCACCAGCACCTGGTGGCCTCCACTCGGCGAAGGGGGACCCAGACCATCGTCTCTTTACAGAGGGAGTGTGGAGTTTGCAGTGTTCTCCAGGGAGCAAATAACCTGTGCGAATCAGGAAGACAGAAGCGGGGTTTGATACGCTATACACTGATTTCCAATTTTTTTTTTAAGTTGAGGAGCTATTTCATCAAAGAAAATCTCGAGTGCGGCCTCCAGTGAAGGGCAGCTCTGGCTGCATGAGGGTACAAGGCCTCCAGCCTCTCTCAAGGCCCTTCCGTGGGACCCGACGCCCCCGGGGAAGACCCTGCCCTGATGACCTCCCCAGGAGTCCTCAGCGCCGCAGGGGAGAATAATTAAGAGCCCGAGTGAGTAAACACACAGGAATGAGAAGAATCCGGAGGCAGCAGGAGGCCTGGTCTCTCCCACTTTGGCTCCTCTTCATTCTGCCTGTGTGGGACTCTGCTCTCCCAGACGAGCTACTGAGGCTGGAGTGGGGCCCCGGGGCAGGAGGGGCCCCAGACAGCAGTGCTCATCGGAGCCACGCTCATCCACAGCGCCCCAAGCTGGAGGATGCTGAACGCAGATGATCCTTACTTGTTTTTTTTTTTAAATGATTTCTATCGAGCTATAATTTACATACAATAAAGTGTAGCCGCTGGATGTGTCCATTTCAGGGGGCTGTAGAAAACGTGCACATCTATGTACCTGGAACACCTCCGTCACTCGCAGTGTCCCCACTCCGGCCCTGAGCAACCAGCATCATCACTGCCAAGATGGATGGTTTCGTTTCCCGGGACAGGAGGACACCAGGCCTTGCCCGATACCTGGTTCTTGCAGAGGCCATAGAGACGTTTCCGAGACTCACTCCCCTTGTCACACGTGTCGAGGGCTCTTTCCTTGCGGGCGGTGGTCCCTGTGGCTGCATAGTCACTTGCTTTCCCACTTGTCTGCCAGTGGGTGTCTGTGTTGTCCCCAGCCCGACGTGCGTGTTAAGGCCTGCGGGTGCACGAGGGAAGTGAGTGGCTGGGTGGTGGAGTCAGCAGACACTGCATGTTTAACTTCACAAGAAACTGCCCCGCTCTTTCCCAAGGCAGCTGGGCACAGGGCGCTCCCCCAGGTGTGTGTGAGGTCCAGCTGCCCCTTGATGACGCCATGCTTTTGTGTGTGTTTGGTCGTCTGAGTGAACACACAGTGGCACTTTGCTGTGGATTGAACTTCCATTTCCCTGACGGCTACTAATGAACACCTTTCATGGGCTCGCTGGCCATCAGCATCTCTTCTTTTGTAAAGTGTCTTTTCAAGTGTTTTGGCTATTTATTTATTTACTGTTTAATGGATTGAACCCAGGACCTCACGCATGCTAAGCACACGCTCCACCACGGAGCTATACCCTCCCCCCCTTGGCT